CATTATGGGTGCTATGTATTATTAGTAGGCCCCCCCCCCAGCATCTGCTCCTGCTCTCCCCTTCTCCTGCCCCCTCCTCAGCAGCAAGGGGGGAGGTCAAGCAACTAGTTGAGTAGTGACTCAACTACCTGATAAGCCAATGCTTACAAGATAGTAACTAGTCATTTACATCCCTACTCTGGATCCCTGTTCCCTGGAGGTTAGAGAGTGCAGATGTCTGGGCTGGACATTTCACTGGACATGGGGTGCAGGTATCTTGCCCCTCCTCACCTGCTGATTTGAGAGGGAGGGAGCATGGAAACAGGAGTTTCTTTAATTCTCTACTACAGCAATTCTTAACCTGGGGGTAGTTACCCATTGAGAGGTTATTTGGCATATTTCAGGGGACATTAAGTTTTAAAATACAATAGGTGTTGAATTTTGTTCAACATAATGTATGAGAACAAAATACATTACAAATGATTCATTGTAATTTTTCTTTTTGTCTATTGCCATTTAAAGGAAGAGGGGTAATTTTGGTTTATTGGTTAACTTTTGGCAGTGTTACCCCCTTAAGCTTAAGAACCACTGCTTTAATACTAGGGAAATCTTTTTATGTCTGGATTGTTGCAGACATAGTTGCTGGCAGGTATTTTGAAATGATGTAATCATGCCTGTTTCAGTTCTTTTCGTAGTGTTTGACAAAATTGCAGAATTTTAAAATACGGGCAGAATTTTTAATATTTTTTTACATAGAAATCCCTCAGAAGAAAAATGTGAGCCCAATGCTGTCTTCAAGTGCTATAGACTTTTTTTCAAACCAGAGTTTAGGACTACCTCCAGGTGTGTGTGTTGTGCTTGAACCCTAATTGTCAGGATGTCCATTATTTCACATGTAAATGCAGCTTACAAAGCCCTACCAAACTATTAGTATCCAGTGTGATCAAAGGCAACTCAACAGTGTCTTTCACCCTGCTAGTCTTGATTGTGCCAAGTTGATGAAACTTGCAAAAGTCATCCTAGTGAGATGGAATCAGACTGCTGCTGGCAATCTTTCCCTTTCTGCATTAGTATGGGAAGGAGAGTGACAGATTAGCTTTTGTCAGGGACTGCTGGGCTTGGAAACTGAGAATGAGGGGCTCTTCCCCATAGGGATGTGAACGACGAGTCGACTATCCGATAAGGGAATGCTTATTGGATAGTCAACAGACTAGTTGTGCTGCCCCCTCCCCCCCGACTCTATCAGAAAAAGGCAGCAAGGGAGTGTATGGAAGGGGTATTTCAAATCGGCAGTGCTGTGTGGAGCCTGGACTTGAATGCATCGACTATTCAATTAGCCAATTACTTGATATTTAACATCCCTACTTCCTTAGCAGGGTGTGGGAAGGAAGGAGGAGTTCTTATCCTCTTAGTGTAGTAAAATGTATCCCTTACTAAAATCTCATCCATTTTAGCACTCCCTGATACGTGCCTGACATGCATTGGGGGAAACATGTTTCTACTACTAAAGGCAATGAAATAGGACCACTGGTTGCTTATAGGCATTTTGGGCTAAGGTAATGGGAGAGATGACTACCACATGGAAGATTTTAAATGTTTTTTTTTCCCCCCTGAAAGTATAGAAGTGCTAATTAATTGTCCATAGGACACACCCACAGATCTCTGTGGATACAGATAAGTGTTTCCACTGTACTCTCTGTATTTTGTCACGTCAAGACTCTTATCCAAAGTTTTTCTTGCACCACTTGGGGAGTTGTATGTGCCAGTCCTGCAGCACGTGTGGTGAAGGCACTCTGTACTTACAGGAGAGCTCTCTGCTTGGCATAAAAATCACCTCTGCGAGTAGCAGAAGCTATGTTGATGAGCGAAACTTTCCCACCCGTTGTACCACATGAGCACTTATGTCCGTGTAACAGTTTTGCTCCCGAGTTACCTATGCCAGCCGACCTCCAGTGACAGGAGTTTTAGTAGACTGTCTATTCAAAGCTATGTTTCTTCAAGTAACACCTTGAAACTAATTTCTTGCCATTCTTAACAGTGTTTTTACAGATGTCATCTTCAGCATTTGAAGTGAAAGATCAGAGTGGTAAAATCTGCATAATAGCTAATCTGTCAGCATCCTTCTCAGTGAAATACCCGACTAAGAGCCAGTATAAGGTAGGAGTAGCTTGGTGTTTTTCTAATTGTCATTTTAAACAGGAAATTTTTTGCCGGTGGGTTCTGTTAGAAGTTAGAGCAAACATTAAGCCAGAAAAGCTGCTTGCACAAACAGTGCTCTTTAAATCTTTTATTCCTCCTTGTTTCTGGAATAATGGCTCTGACACTTGTTCCAAGATCTAATCTGAAAATCAAACTAATAGTATTTAAGACTGCCAGCTGCTGCGTGAATTTGGGGTCCTAACATCAATACTAGAAGTTGTTTTCCTTGAGGCTGTAGTGAGAAATAATAGTCTGATTCAGTGCAGTTACTTAGGTAGTCTGAAGCCCTGATCTCGCACAGGCTTTTTGCAGGCAAACCCCTGGACTGAAACCCATGGTCAGTGTGGCTTCTTGCAGATGCAGAACATTTTTCCCCTCAATAAATTGCAAGACAGAAGCAATAATGAGTATATGTTGCACAATAAGTATGCCACCACAGTAATGAAGTACATATGATGCTTGTTAATATTGTTATGATACTAAATTGACCTAGTGTGAGGGGCTTTATCTGTTTCCTAATACACCTTTGTGTAAGTGACTTGCCAGGCTAGAAATATTTTCTGGCTTGGGTTGCTCTCTGCTGGCAAATGGGTTCATCTCCTGATCTCGCTGTAACTACCCATTTAGAGTGTGCCTACATCTTTTTTTAAAAAAAGTTAGTGCTGTTTGGCTAGAGAATGTAATGTTCTGCTCTGCTATTGGTGCCTTTTGCTGCTGAAGCTTGTGTGGAGTACTTCAGATTGGAGACCACTGGTCTAGTGTATTATAACTATGGAGAATGCCCTCTAGTGAGTACAGAGGAATGTTCAACAGGGCTTGGGGCAGGGAGACAGCCACCCAACTCTGGTCCTGCTGCTGAGCTGGGCTTCTGGGGGGCATGGACAAGAGTAAGGGAGGAGTGCAATGTGAAAAGTTTGGAGACCACTGCTTAGTTTGTCTCCCCTCAGTACCTATTGGTAATCTCTTGCATCCTGCAGATTTTACTGTCAGCTTAATTTGTGGCCTTCAGTTCAGCAGATAGTGCCCTTCATGCTGATATTCTCCTGCTTAATGTGCTTTTGTGCCAAGCTTAAGGAGAATTTGCTAGATGTCCTCTGCCAGTTGTATAATTGGACTCTACTTGAGTCTATTGTGTGGTTTTTTGAGCACTCCGATGTATTGGGGAAAATTGTTGAAGCCTCTAGGCTTGCCTGTCTAGTTTGTAGTTCAGATATTAGGTCAGCAAATGATGTGTGCTTATTAAATACTCAAATGAGTATTTAAATTGTCCACTGCTCTTAGTGTTCAGTTGTGGTTGTCTTTCTTCAGGGGCAGCATGCAGCCAAGTGTTGTCCTTTCTGATCCATGAAATCTGTTAGTGCTCAGTACATGCTGCAAGGTATCTGTCTCTTGTTCTGAGGAGGCAGCTGTAGGTACAGTCAACAGGGTACTGCATGGGGAGTTCAGACCTGGAGTCTATTGGCTCCTCTCTGCTACTGATTTGCTGGGATCTTCAAATACTTTTTTGCCTCTGTGCCTTAAGTATTTATCATCCCCATTTTATACAGACATTAAGCCCTAATCTCCATGGGCCTCTCAGAGCTTTTTACAGAGGAAGAAACTATACCCAAGCCAATTCTTTCCATATATAAAGTGTCATTTAAAACAGTTTCTTCTGCATTATGCCAGTTTCAATACAACACTGCCAAGTGAATCTGCTTATTTCAGTTGAAATTAAGAGCTCAGCAGAAGAGCTTGCAAACTGTGTTCCTCCCGTAAGACTACTTTTGCTTCCTTTATTCTGAAACTTGGATCAGTCACTTTTGAATGTATGATTGTCTTAGCTGAGATCCTATCTGTCTAATATATTGTTAAAGCGGAGTCATTTTTTTTGAAACTTAAAACCTTTTGTATGGCACAGAAAAATGTCTTTAGCAATCTTAATAGTAAATGAGGGATCAAAGTTAACTACAGGTTCAACCTCTCTGGTCCAGCAACATCTGTCATCTGTTAGCTGAATGTCCACTTACCATGGTGTGGCCAAGTTTCCTATAGTCCAACAAAGTTTATTTACAGCCATCAGTCCTGGCTCTCAGTGTTCTGTGCTGTTGTTTAGCTCTAACTTACCCCTAAATGTCTTCAAAGTAAGCAGTGGAAGTATTGCTAATGCTGCTAGACCATATTGACCTGCTAGGGTTTGGCAAAAGTGCTAGACTAGAGAAGTTCAACCTGTATCTATAGAAATTAACTGTTGTTACTCACTTTTTGCTTTGCTTGTCTTGATCCAGATTTTATACTAGCAGATTTATTATTCCTAAAGTGCTGTCATGATCCTGCTAGATAGTGAGATACAGAAGGTCAGATCTTGAACTATTTAATTTTTATTGAGAACCAGTAATAAAATCTCCGTAGCAATAAATATTCACTGGAACCACTGAGTTAAGTCCATGCTTCTGCATCAAGTTTCAGTGATTATCATCTTGAGGTAGGTGTTTACTGCAAATCAATTAAGAACTGGGATTCATTGCATTTTCTGTCTGGAAAAAATTAGCTTGTAGGTATGCAGCTCTTCAAGTTTCAAGTCCACTGACCTCACTTGTGGTTTTTTTTTAAAACCTTATTTGCATTTAAATTAACCTGTTTAAAAATCACTGCAGTTTAAGTTGTAACTCCTGGAACTAGGGATGTAAACAGTTACTTTCACATGGTTAACTGATGATCCTGGGCTCATCTGTTAACCTACACGATTACATGAAGCCACCTCCCCCCTGCTGCATCTGTATCAGAGACCGCAGTGTGGGGAGGCAGGTGGACACTGATGCTTCTCTCTTCTTTCCCCCTCGTCCCCAAATTTGTAACTGCTGAAACTTTCAGCAGTTCCACATTTATTAAAGTAAATACATTTTACGTCCTGGCTTGGTACTGTTGCTGCAAGTAGTAGGAGAGTATAATGGATACGATTTGTCTGCCCTCCTGGATATCTCTAATTTCACTGCATGTCCTAAGGCAGTGATCTCCAGCCTTTTTAAGCACAAGATCGCTTTTTGAATTTAAGTGTAATCCAAGATCTACCTCAAATATAAATACCCTTCCCCTGCCTCCGTCCCTCCCCTTCTCTGAGGCCCCGGCCCTGCTCACTTAGTCCTTCCTCTTTTGCCATCCTCACTCGCTTTCATCAGGCTGGGGCACAGGCTCTGGTCTTGGGTTAAAGGATTGGGAATGTGAGAGGGGCTTTGAGCTGCTCTCGGAGCAGGCAGTTGGGATGTAGGAGGGGGTTCTAGGTACAGGCTCTGGGACTATGTTTGGATGCAGGGGGGCTGGGGCAGGAGCTTGCGGTGCAGAAGGGTGTTCATGACTAGGGAGGAGTTGAGGATGTGGGCTCCAGCTGGGCACTGCTTACCTCAGGTGGCTCCTGAGTGGTGGTGCAGTGGGGCTAAGGTAGGCTCACCCCTGCCCTGGCCCTGGCCCACGCCCTCTCCCTAAAGTAGCCAGCAAACGCCATCACAAGTCCTGTTGTGCCCCCACTCTGCTTTGAAAGGATACAGAATGGGAGGGGGCATCTTGACATCAGCACACTCCTCTCCCTCCCCTGCCCTGCACAGAAAGCAGGAGGCTGCCCAGGGGGGAGAACTCCAAGGCAAAGGGCAGGAGATAAGGAGCAGTGGGGGGAGGAGCAGCTGAAGCGCTGGCACTTGACAGCCTCTTGGCCAAGCCAGTCAGGATTACCTGTCAGAGGCGCCAAGATCTACAAGTAGATCCTGATCTACTGGTTGGTGACCACTGTCCTAAGGCTAGGAATTGGGGATGTAAAATAGAGGTTCAACAGCTAACTGTTTAGTTAACTGGTTAATCAATTAACCATGGTCCTGCTTGAGCGGGCTGCCCAGCCAGGATCCCGCCCTTACCCAGGCCCCAGGGCTGGGACTTCCCACATGGCTAGGGTTAGTGCTTCTGTTCCATGTGGCCAGGCAAGGGTTCCCCTCCTCCCCCCAGGCGCTGGGCTGGGGCTACTGGCATGGCAAAGGATGGGATCAGAGCTGCAGCTCCACATGGCCTGGACAGGGTCCTCACCCAGCCCGTCCAGTTAACCAGTTTCCTATCCAGTAAGCCTTAGGCTTACCGGGTAACTAGTTAACAGTTTAACTGTTTACATCCCTACTAGGAATCATGCTAAAAATTTCAGTCCTTCAGTTGAATAAGTTGCACCTGGCACAGGTGAAGACAACTGGGAATGATTGTGCACTTCTGCATTGAAAACTAAAAGGAAAACCTTCTGCTGATTGGTAGCATGTCTGTTTGGGCTGCCTTCACAGTAGATAGCATTTGAGCCAGGGCACCTAATTTTTTAAAAAAAACCCTGTTGGTTGCCACTTAATCAGCTTGGAAAGGTGTTAAAAGTTGAAGGTTGATACATCAAAGAGTATGCATAGAGAAGAGGAATGCAAAATGAGATCTCTAATGAGGGGAAGAACAGAATACACTGAACAGGGAAATGAAACCACTCAATGGACAGATTGTGGTGGAGGGAAAATGAGGAGAATGGAAAATAAAAGTGGAGAGGACTTCCTGTTGTAAGACCAAGGAAGAGCATTCATATAAGTTTCACTGTATCCTAGAGAAATGCATAAGCAGAGATGTGGCGCGCTCATATATACTAAATGTGTATAAGTGCCCCTGGGACTTCCCTGTCAATTTAGAATCTTTTGAACTTCATGTCATCTTAGTTGATGACACTTCAGAATGCCAAACTCTGGCCTTGAGAGATTCCTTTTATGGCCTGTGTGAGGAGTGAGCCGTGGAGGGCTCAAACAGTCTGAACTCTAAAAATGGCTCCTTAGTTATGTTGGATGTACACTAACATTCAAAGGGAGCTGCTCTCTTCACTCAAGCTCACTGGCCCTTTATAAAAGATCAGCTTCACTGTTTCTCAGTGACTGGTTCATGGACTGGTGCCAGTCCCCAAGTTTTCCTAGCCAGTTTAAGAAGAAAGCAAGTCAGTCCCTGGTATCAAAAAAGGTTGAGAAACATTAGTACAGCTTGTTAACTTTCCAGTGTTCACTTTTGCCTAGTGCACTGAAGTAAAACTGTCATAGCCCCTTCAGGAAGTTAGGTACAATCTGACATGTGGTGGGGAGAGGAATATAATGTGTATTGCTAGAGAAGCCTGATGGTTTCCTTCTTTATAGAGCAAAATATTCATCAAAATTTAAATCTCAAACACTGAAGTACGTATTTGAGGGTTACTTAAGGCTGAGAATAGTGACCCTGTGGTAATGGAGTTGTGCTGTGAGTGCTGGAATAACTGGCTAGGATATCTGAAAAGTAACAGTTGAGAAGGCATTTATGAATCCTATTTAAGTCTCTTGGTTTTACCCACTTTAGGTGGCAAACTTCACACTTGGACACAATGCTCATGTACTGGAAAAGGGAAGCACTTGTGGTACAGAGAATGCTTCGACTCCTGTACTGGTGATTGGTTTTGGAGAGGGACACTCGTTAAAAATGAATTTCACAAAGACCTCAGAGCAGTATGGTGTTGACACGCTAATGTTCCGTTACAATTTGTCCGATACAGCTACATTCCCCAACTCAACTGGAGGTGAAGTAAAAAAGTCTTGATTTTCTGTTTGTATGTACCTGAATTATTATCCATGTGGAATGCCATTTCACTTTTTTCCCCTCTGTGCAGTGCTATCTGGAGACATCTTAATCTTTGAGCAACTGTACATTTTCTTTTTACAGGAGAAAAGGAGGTTTCGCAAAAAACTGATATTCTGGCAGAAATTGACACAAGATACAGATGTTTTAGTACCAACCAGATTAATATGTTGAATGTGACCATAACACTTAGCAATGTTACTCTTCAAGCATATCTTATGAATCATACCTTAAGTAAAAATGGTAAGTAGCTTTGATTTATTGAGAGAATACACTGAGACAAGCAAACCTTCCTTGTATCCACTAGGTTTATGGAACCCTGTGTGACTAATGAGAAATAGAAATATCCTTTCATCTCAAGATGGCATCTGCTCACTGCCAGGATAGGCCAAACATGAAAGCCACCATCTGATGGTTCTACAATGAACTCGGGGGGCTTCGCTTCAGCTTTTCCAGGATAAGTGTCTACATTACGACAGGCATACATAGGCAGCCTTCGTACAAGCCGAGGATTGAATCAGCATGGACATTCTCAGTATTACAGATGAATCCCCTCATGTCATGAGTGAAACCTATTAGTGGAGCGATGTAGGCGACCGTGACGGCTACTGCTGCTGCCACTGTTCTGCATTTGATAACTAGGGCCAGCCATTGAGACTGGGTGGAACCCTACTTCCATTGCTCTGTCTAGTATGTTCCAGGAACATCAAATCCTTTACATTTAAAAAAAAAAAAAAAAGGTGCTGGCGCTTTCAACAAAAATGTTCCCAATCAGAATATCCTGAGCAAGGTTCAGCATGTTCTGAGGAAAACTGGGAAGGTGGTTGGGGGGGGGGAGGAAAAATACAGAAGTATAGTTCTCTATTATAGCTCTTTCTAGTGCAGGAAACCAGTCTTCGGTGACAGAGAATGTCTCCAAAGCCCCCTTTGTTCAGTGGGAATTTCTGAAAGGGTGCTGAATGAGGCTTGTCCTTTGTTAAAATACATGTGTAGACTCTGTTCTTCATTGGTTCAGCTACACCTATATACGTTATCAGCAGTGTGTAATTCTGATAGTGTAGTCACAAGGTAGACCTCAGATTCACCCTCCTAAGAGTCTGGGATTTGCTTAGTTATATATTTCTGGCTCTTCCTTCAGATGGGAAGTAGGAGCTACTGCTGCAGAAAGGGAGACCTGACTCTTACCTGCTGATGGCAGATTGCACATCTACCTTCAGGAAAGTAGGCAGGAAGTTCAGTTTTTGCATTGGTCCAATATGATATTGAAAGATCCAAGCTCACATTCAACACTAGCCTCTGGTGACCAGACAACTTGGCATCCTTGCTTTTAAAAGGGTGGTTAAATATTATGGGGAACTGTCTTTATTAAATCAGTGAAAATAAGACTTCTCCATTGTGTTTGGGATTTACTCTCATTTGTAAATGGGGGTTGGTCCTTCTAGGGTGATACATAGGTTATCAGTTTCCCCAAATATACTAATACATGGGGTCTTGTAGCTGCAGTAACTGTGGGAAGATCTTCGTTTGGGACCACATAACCCTATGATTAGCACTCGGACAAGGGGAATGATCTCATTTGTACTTTCTGAGCCAAGTCCCTACCAGGGCTTCCATGTACACCAAGCCCACAATGGACTGGAAAGGCAGGGTGGGCCTGTCTTCCACAGAGATGCAAGTTCCCTTATGCACCCAACCCTGACATGGGCAGGAAACGCCAAAGAATGTATGGGTTCTTATGTAGTTTATGCCATGACATTTAAGTAGCTTAGGTTATGTCTACCTTGCGCTCTGTTGCGCAAGAACACATGCAAATGAGGTGCCACATTCATAAGCCACCATTTTGTGCAGAAACCCCTTCCTTGCGCAGGAGCCATTCTGCTGCTTATTTTCAGGCAGAATGGCTCTTGCGCACGGAGTAGTGTAGACTGCTCCTTCTTGCGCAAAAGCCCCTTGTGCAAAATGGCGGCTCATTAAGTATGTAAATGAAGTGCAGCGATATTCATCGCTGTGCCTCATTTGCATATATTCTTGTGCAAAAAAGCAAGGCTACATCTACATTGCAAAGTTTAAATACAACACTTCTTGCCTGCAACCCACAATAAAACTTGTGGGCTGGTTTAGAAGAGAAGCAACGCAGGGGCTTTGAGTGAAGAGTTGCTGAAGCAAACAGGAACTCCATGTTAGGAGACCCTGTAATCTCTTGGCAAACAGTAGGGCTGGGGAGCCTGTTGGGTTGTTGCTCCCTTATGTCAGGCTTTTCCTTCTCCTTTACCTACCTGGATGCTGGCTGCAAACTGGACAGGAACAGAAGTTATGCTGGTCAACTGAACATGCATAAACCAGAAATGTTCCTTTTTGAGGAGTGGCAGAGGGTGGCTTCTAATGCTAGCAGGCCTGATGTAAGAAGTGACAGAGGGAATGAACCTCACAAGTTGTGTCTATGCTAGGGGGGAAAGGTGTATTTTGGACAATCCCTAGAAGGAGGAATCCAGAGCAGCAGCTTGTGAACTCTCTTAGTAAGAAGCAAGATACCACTAGTACTGCCATGGAAATGCTTGGGAACTGCACTGATGCTGAGCAAGTCCCCAGCTGCCATCCATTCAATAAGGTCCTCAGTCCTGGAACTGATACTTATGCTACAAAATGGCTTTCAAAGGATCTGCTTCAGTGGCTTTCAAAGGCTCTGCTTTCCAGTGGTCTGGCAGCTGACAGACTTAGGTTCATCTTGCAACCCTATTGTGAATGTCAGCAGGGGGAGCTAGTTCCATAAAGAGAGAAAGCAGGGATTAATGTAAATCCATGGTCACCAACCAGTCGATCGCAAGGTGTTCTGGGCCCCCATTCCCTCCACCCCAAGAAACTCTACTACCTACCTCTACCGACAGTGGAGGTAGTGGCGGCTTCCTGCAGCATGGACAGAAGTCCAGCAGCTGTGCGTCCCTTCTGGGGATTCTGGAAATATGCTGGCTGATTCCTTGCTCCAAGTCTGTGGCATGCTGGGAACTTACTGGGTGAATCACCAGAGGTGCACGCTGGGACTTCCCTTCTCTGTGGGAGGGGGGACTCAGGCCTGGAGGGGTTGCGTGCACGAGCTTCCCTGCTCTGCGGGAGGGGGGAGTTGAGGCCTAGAGGAGGTGTGCAACAGGGATTCCCTCCGAGGGGGAGAGAATCCTGGGAGGGAGGCAGGTGCAGGGGCCTCCCTGCCCCCACTGGCACCCTGTCCTCTGCCCCAGCTCCCACTAGCACCCTTCCCCAGTACCATGTCCCCTGCTCCCACCAGCACAGTTGGGGCCACATTAGTGAGGCTTTGGGGGGGGGGGGCACATTGGAGGGTTTTTTGCATCTCACTTGTGTGGCCCCAAGTGACTTTTCTGTGGGTCAGTGACCCGTGACTCAAAACAAGTTTCCCCGCCCTTCTCATAAATAAAGATAATGCAGGAACTTTTTTGTTTGACAGGCTTCATTTTTAAATAAAATACTGGCCAACAAACCCCCAGTTGGACCACACCATAACACTCCTACGCTCCCCCAGACCCTAGATCTGAGCCTATCATACACTGGAACCCCTTGCCCTGAGCCCCTCACATACCCCAACCCAAATTCCGGAACCCTCATATCCACCTCCCCAAAAGCCTGTGGCTTGCTTAGTACCCCAACACTGTCTTGCCTGGAGCCCCCTCCCCGAGCCAGCATCCCCTTCTCCATCTCCTCCTGAATCCAGATTTCCTTCCCACACCCAAATCCCTCATTCCCACCCCAGAGCTTACACATCCTGCCTCAACCCAGCGAGGGTATAGCAAGACTGCAGGAGTTTTTCAGGATTCCGGAGATATCCCAGAAAAACTCTTCCTCATCCAGGTATGCATTTGTTCTTCCACTTTTTTTTAGTGGAAGAGCAAACCTGCTCTTTCAGTCACCTCTATATTCCTTTTTCCACGAGGAATAAGGAGGCTTCCGAAAGAAGGGGTCTTTCTGACATTTGGTCCAGTCTAAACAGGCCAAATGTTGGAAAAACCTCTTCCTACAGAAGAATTGGAGGGGAAAAAAGCAGCAGTATAAGGGTAGGGCATCGCAAGTGATGGAGAGGAGAGTAGAGAGGGCAGGGCTTCAAGGAAGGGGCAGGGTGGTAGATCTTGGCTTGTTCTGTCACTTAAGTGATCTTGGGTGTAAAAAGGTTGGAGACCACTGATGTAAATGTTCTTGATTTGATGAAAATAAGTAAATGCTGACCTGATGAATGAATAGTCTCTATTTAATCTAAATTGCCTAAACTGCTGTTCTGCTAAAGCTAAACAAGCAGGGATGGGGCGTCTTGATAACTGAAATGGAATGGGTTTTGAGAGACCCACAATGCCTTATGGCTAGTGCAAAAGTAAAAGTGTAGCTGACCAGTTCTGTATTGAATCTCACTGTTAAAAAGCAAATTAGACTTTATATATAATTAATTTTTTAGTGGTTAATAGATATTAAGAATAAAACTCCTTGAAATAAGGGGATATTGATAGTCTCCCTCTTCCCCAGAGAGAGATTGATCTTAACATCTTTTTGTTGTCAATGATTTCCTTGTAATTCTGTGCAGTTGTACTTGATGTTCATCACTTGATACTACTTTCTTTCCAGAAACTCTGTGTAAAAAAGATTTGCCACTCTCTACTACTGCAGTCACGACAACCACTAGGCAGGCACCTACGACAAGCCAAGCACCAACATCCCCTCCACAAAACCCAACGATTGGAAAATATAATGTGACTGGTAGAAATGGGACCTGTGTACTTGCTAATATGGGGCTGCAACTTAATGTCACGTATTCAAGAAAAGATGGAAAGGTACATTTTTTTTTAATTACTATTTCTATACTAAAACCTTTCATGGAGAGAGAGTGAAAATATTGCTTCCCTGTGCTTTACAGACTTGACTAATGTTACAGTACTCAGTTATGGTCTTGCAATTAAATTGCTTAACAGTTTTCCTGGATACACTAATTCTGTAGTGGATAGTCATTGTAACCTTGCCATAAATAGTGTGTTCCTGATGTACTGGTAGCTGCTCTAGATCAGTGTTTCTCAACTCCTTTATTTAAAAAAAAAAAAAAAAAAAGGACCCCCTTTAACAAAAAGAGTACCCTCAGTACCTACAGTTTTCAGACACACCATTTTTTTCTACCATTGCCACACATTTTTTTTTAAACAACTTAATCGTAGCCAGGTGGGTGGTGAAATTCTTGGGTATAAAAAGTACAAAAATAAAACGCTGTAAAACTTAAAACAAATTTAGTTTTCTCCAAATTTCAGTTGTTGATGTACCCCCCCCAACCTCTCTCGTACCCCTAAAAGTACTCATAGAAACACTGCTCTAGATAAGTCACTTAACTGTTTCCATTATATACCAGGACTTTACACCTGGAATGTTGAAATCCAGGCTGAAACATTTGTTCAAGATATAGAAACAGTTCAAAACATCAAATGGAGAATCTGGAAAATTAAGATGCTGCTTACATTTGTTTCTTCATTTAGACATGCAAATCAGGGTTTTGTTCATATTTAGATGCTTTTTCAAACCTTTAAATACAGTGCAGACAACTGACAATCCTTTGATATGCTTTTTGGCTACGTCTAGACGGCATGATTTTCCGGAAAATGCTTTTAACGGAAAAGTTTTCCGTTAAAAGCATTTTCTGAAAAGAGCGTCTAGATTGGCACGGACGCTTTTCTGCAAAAGCGCTTTTTGCGGAAAAGCGTCCGGGGCCAATCTAGACGCACTTTTGCGCAAAAAAGCCCTGATTGCCATTTTCGCCATCAGGGCTTTTTTGCGCACAACAAATCTCAGCTGTCTACACTGGCCCTTTTGTGCAAAAGTTTTGCGCAAAAGGGACTTTTGCCCGAACAGGAGCAGCATAGTATTTCCGCAAAAAGCACTGATTTCTTACAGTAGGAAGTCAGTGCTTTTGCAGAAATTCAAGCGGCCAGTGTAGACAGCTGGCAAGCTTTTCTGGGAGAGCGGCTGATTTTCCGGAAAAACCGGCCAGTCAAGACAGTCTTTGAGTTTCACAGTCTTAATTGACTAAAAATGTATGAAACTACATTAAAGCCCAGCACAAGCAAATATTGAGTGAGTGGAATTGGTTTATAGGCAACCTTGCTAGTATTCTGTTACTGTGTGTGTTGTTTTTGTTTTTGGCAACTGAATCTATTAGTTATATTTAGTTTTTCTGCCTACTCTAACTTCCTGGCTCTCTTGGTTCTATACTTTTTTGCTGCCAACCTTAGCTCACCAGCTTTGGTTTCAAGTCTGTACCTGTGTGCATATACGCCATTAGCAGACTTTCTGGAGGAGATACTTTGCAGTTGATTCCTCTTTACCTCTGTGTTGTCTATTTGCCTCTAGTCAAGAAGCAGGTGTTTAATCCTGCTAAAATAATTGTAAGAGTATCTCATCAATTATCAGAAGCTTGTTTGTGAACACTTATACAATCCATCAGGCTTAAAAACCTTTAGCCTGGTGGTCCCCAACGCGGTGCCCGTGGGCACCATGGCATTTGTGTGTGCCCGCCGACAACCTGGGCTGGCCCCGCCCGAGCCCGGTAGCCTCTATAGGTTGGGGACCACTGCTTTAGCCCATAGTGATTTGCGAACAGGATTGTCTGAAATGCTGAACTGTTACTGTTGTGTAATAAAGCCTTTCAAACTGTCTGCCTTCCAATGAATCAGTAATCTGCAGAACTCAGTTCTCCCTCAAGTGAAAGCAGAAGAGTGTTCTTATGGTTGCATCAATCTAATTAAATCTTAATGCATGGTGGTAATGGCTGATGTTTCCTTCATGCTCTTTTGCGAACAGGATTGTCTGAAATGCTGAACTGTTACTGTTGTGTAATAAAGCCTTTCAAACTGTCTGCCTTCCAATGAATCAGTAATCTGCAGAACTCAGTTCTCCCTCAAGTGAAAGCAGAAGAGTGTTCTTATGGTTGCATCAATCTAATTAAATCTTAATGCATGGTGGTAATGGCTGATGTTTCCTTCATGCTCTTCAATTAAGTATAAGCTTCCTTATCCACAACAATCTTTACCTGGAAAATAGTTTGACTGTAACCAAAGGGTCTGGGCCTCAAGAGTGCCATGAGGCTTGAAGGGGGGGTATAAGCACAAGGAGCCTGTCCCATAATATCAGCACTTGTTCATGGGGGTATCCACATGCAGTTTTTCTTGCATCTGAGTGGAAACCAGGTAGAAAAGAGCTGAAAACTGAGAGAATGTTAACAACTTGCTGAGAGACGTAATAACTAGCCCTTTTCTCATCTGTAGACTGGATTGGTTGTGCTGAATTTTGATCCTGTGAATACATCTTTCTCTGGGAGCTGTGACAATTCTTCTGCCTTTCTGAACCTGATTTTTGGGAAAACTAGACTTGTGTTCCATTTTCTATTGGTAAGGGTGTTTTTTAATGTTACTTGCACAGCTCTGGCATGCTTTTTCAATGAGCGGAAATTGTTCCATTAAATTGTTCCATTAAATCCATATTCAAGATAAGATGTGTGAGACAGTCAGTATCAGTTTTATTCCAAAAAAGTTAGATGCATTCCCTACAGAATGCATAATAAACAAGGAGGGAGAGGAATCCAAGTAACAGAAATGGTGGGGGAAATAAAGGGCTAATTTGCAATGAGGGTTTTTAAAATACATTTTACAGTTCTCAGACAAGACTATTGGTAGCTCTGTTTCTTCAAGAAACCTTTAGGGGAGCTGACTGCTGTACGTAGGTGTTCCATCTAATTATATGAAAAGCATGCAAACAGAATTGTATTAAAGTCCTTTCAGGAATATTGTTTATACAGCATGAGTAGTTTTCCTGCTGCTTTCACTGTCTTCTGCAGTGAATTGTTAGGTATTATGTTTTCTTTGTTGAATCAACGGTACATGTGACAGAAGGGTTGATGCCCCTTTATTTCCTTCAAAGGGGCATTATCACTACTTGGCACTTGTTTGGGATGTAGTATGCTTGCTCATTGGGTTGAGTCGTCATGAGAAACCTGAAATCTCTTAATTGTCAGCCATTAAAGGGGCAAACTGACTTTGGCTTGAGTTAGTCATTAATGTAGATCCTGCCTCTCTAAGGCTCCCCCAGTGAGCACTTGTATTATGTCCTTGCCAGGATTTTATAGATCTCATTATCCAGGGTTAACTGAGGATTGTACCTTTCAGGTGGTGTTTTGTGAGTATCTGTCATGTTCATCTTCAAATGCTAACTCTGTAGCTTTTTTAAAAAAGCATCTGAGGGCATTTTCCTCCCTGCTCCCCTCCCATTGGTTTCTTCTCTAAAACTGTACAGTAGTTGGTATCACTTTCTAGGTTTTCAGTGTGTTAAGGCTTTAAATGCCTCAGCACTTCTAATAAGGATGCATTAAACTCTTCTATTGTAAAACCAAGTTGTACTTCAGCTGTTTAAAATGTGATGTATGGGTGCAAATAAATTCTCTTTTTTTAAGAATACAAGTACCGACAAGTTTTTCCTGCAAGGTGTCATTGTGAACACAACTTTGCCTTCTGAAGCTAAAGGTAAGGATTTTTGTTAGTGTCATAAGGCTAGTCAGTAACTATTAAGGAAGCCCAAATATCTGCATGGGGGGGGGGGGGTGTATGTGTTCTGTCTTAACTAATAGAATTTTCTGAAGCCTTAGCAATTGCTATTTCTCACATGTCTGTTACTTTATGCTGCCTTCTGTTGCACAGAACCAAAGTTGGATGCTTTTAACAACAGCATGAGTGAACTGAGAGCTACAGTTGGGAACTCCTACAAGTGCAATAAGGAGGAGAAACTTTGGGTCACCGACCAGGTCTTTGTCAACTTATTCAGTGTTCAGGTTCAGGCTTTCAAGATTGATGGAAACAAATTTGGAACAGGTAAACTGTGTATGCATCTGTAAAACCAGCACACTTTAATGACACTGAAGGTTTTAATGAATGTGCCTATTTTACTGATTTAAGAATACATGAATATTTTTTCAGAAACTAGTCTTCAGAGTTAATGACCAGTTCAGTAAATTCATCTGTCCATATTCACAGCATGCCTCACTACAATTGTGGTTCAGCTATCTGTACTTGTTGCTCTGTTTGAATTAAGGCATGAAGTGTAAACAAATGCTAAGTTTTCTTGAAATAGCACATATACTAAATAAGGCATGTGCACAACTGTAGTGTGCAGAAAAGTTGAGGGCCTGTAGTTAGACTTTCACACCAGTATTCTATTGCAGTTGTATCAAAAGAATAGCGATCTGAGAAGGGGAGTTCACAGCTGGTTATGTGGTGCCTGACAAGTTGCTTGAAAGCTTTTAATCTGGCCATACTTATGGCCTCTGGTAGTGTTGGCCCCTGGGCAAAGGTGGGGGAGAGCCTAATTAATAGAGCCAACATGGGATTCTTGTACACTATAAATTCTTTCTTGTACTGTGTGCAGTAAATCATTGTACACAGTAAATACCGTTTTATCAAACCTGTTCATTCATTCTTTCCTGAAATGATCTTAAAAAGCAAGATTACTTAACAGTAGCTTCCATTATTGCTGTCAGGCCAGAAGTTAACTAGTTGAAGATTAGCATTCACCTGTATGCTAGGAGTAGAATATTCCAACATGAAATCATCTGTGGGTGGTGCGTCTCTCTTCTTCCCCCACCCCAAGTTAAGAGACCAATGTTTACTGAATTTTTTTTTTCCCCCTCTCTTTAGTGGAAGAATGTCAACAGGATGGAGATAACATGGTGATCCCTATAATAGTTGGTGCTGCCCTTGCTGGACTTGTCCTGATTGTCTTGATTGCTTATTTGATTGGTAGAAAGAGAAGTCATGCTGGATATCAAACAATCTAATGACTTTCACTTAAATGAATCCAGTGGTTAATTAAAAAGCAGTTGCAAGAAGTGGATAAATTTCCCCTAAACTGAGATTCCTTATAAGGGAGCACAGTCTCGCAAAATGCTTCTTGTTAAATTGTGCTTTATTAAATGATTCCATCATGCAGCATTTAGCTACGCACAAAGGAATAACTTCTCAAATTCTGGTGTTTAATTTTGCTAACTGGTTAAATATTTACCCACTTAGAAACAAGCTAAAGTTTTAAGAGTGCTTTTCTGAATTGGCATGAATTTCATGTCCGGTAGACCTATTCCAGACTGGTGTGTAGTTAATTCATTCACTCACTTACCTTCAGATTAAAGTCTAACAAAGGGAAGCTTTCACTCTTGGTTCTACTAGGATCCTGTGATGAAGTCAGTAATTCTTCTGATGGTGCATTTAAAGTAATGACTGACAAATCTATGTAAAAAATTAATCCCCCTTATGTGTGTGTTACTAAGCATTAAACCCAGCATGCCAGGCATATGCAGGGTATGAAACATGCAATAGTCAACCTTATAGGAACTCATTTACAATTGGGCAATTCCCTACTTGATATTTTTGATGCTCTGCCAGTTTGTTCAGAGCTGGAACTTTTTTAAATACAAAATGGATGTTTACTTTTTTTTGTAAAGTGAATTTCAGTCTTTTCTGCAGCTATGTACAAGATGAATTTAATCTGAGTTTCTTGCTTTAAACTTGGTTGGGGTTGTACACTTTAAGGATCAGTTATGTATGCATTGCCTATAACAATGCTAATAAAGACTTTTTTCTGTACACTGTTTCACAGACCCTTTCTACATAACTTTCATCTTGCTTTACTTCACTATTTGATCAGAAATATTTTAAGTTGTGTGTACCACTCCTTACTCACTTTAAGAATCAAGAGATTAAGGGTAGGTGTATTCCTTAGATGATTACACCAGGGTTTGGCATGCCAACCACGCTTTGCTTTAGTAGCACTGAAGGTGTGATGGTATAGGCTTCAGTACAAGCTAGTAATATTGGTACATGTCCATTATTGAGAGGCTTTTGATGCTTCATCTTCACCAATGTTCTGCACTAGCTAGAAAAAAACTCTGGTAGGTATTCCTACTTGTGTAGTAGTCCTGCTCTTCACTGCAGTATACACATACTCCCCAGTCCTGAACCTCTGTGTACCATTACATTTATACTTAACTAGCATGTGTAACTTTTTCATCCTCCTCTGAGGGACATTAAATCCTGTAATTGTCTAGACCAGTGGTTCCCAACCTTTTCCAGGTGGGAACCTATTTTGACAATTCAGGAAGACCTGGTGACTCAGGGCAATTTAAAAAAATGTGTGAATGGCTCCTTGAGACACCTGGTGACCCTTTTGAAATGTAATGGCAACTCGTATTTGGGTCCTGACCCATAGGTTAGGAAACCCTGGTCCAGGCCATCCCTCTTTCAGCAGAATCTGGCCTCAGGAGCAAGGGGAGCCTTGTAACACAATTCACCTTGTGGGTTAATTTTTTGAAGAACTGGAAGCTATTAGTTCTTCCCAGTGCAAGGGTGGGTTGGATCCAATTCATAACTCATTTTATACATTAAAAAGGGGGGGGGGAGGGATAGCTCAGTGGTTTGAGCATTGGCCTGCTAAACCCAGGGTGGTGAGTTCAATCCTTGTGGAGGCTATTTGGGGGGGGAAAAAAACCCATCAGGGTGGTACTTGGTCCTTCTGTGAAGACAGGGGACTGGACTTGATGACCTTTCAAGCCTTCCAGTTCTAGGAGATAGGCAATCTCCATTAATTTATTTTTATTTAAAATGAAGGCAAAGACACTGTCTGGGTGATTGAAGTTTGTGTAGCCATAGGCTGAACATTCCTCATCAATAGGGCTCAACAAATTATACAATCTACTCCCCTGTGGTGAGTAGACTGGAACCTGGAAGAGCAGGATTCAGGTGATCTGCGCATATGCAGATTGCTGGACAGCATGGCTGGTGAGCAGAGCTCGCTGTGGTTCGGCAAGCCCTGCTCATCAAAGTTGGAAGACAGAGAAATCTGACAACTGCAGTGTCTGTTCTCATGCCCTCCGTGGCCAGTTCCTTGGTGCTACCATCCTGGTCAACTGCCTACCTGCATTAGACTTTCTCACCAGCACTGATGCCAACTTGCCCTCTCCCAAGATGTAAAGCTTCTGCTTTACAGTTTACTACAGTCAGTAAGCCAATAAGATATATTGCACAGAATTCTAAGTATAGGAGCAATGATGATAGTGAGATACCCATAATAAAGCATACTCCAGATAGGGGACCCTTTCCTCAAAGCTTTTAGGGTAGGTTAGATCCAGAAGCGCTTTGTCATACTGTCATTTCATGGTAGCTTTAGAGCAGTCATCGTCTGCATAGACCATACAGCTGAGCTTGAAACAATTGAGGCTCCTGTATAGGAAAAGCAATAACTGTAGATGTAAGGAAACTAACCTTAGTGCTTAGTCCCATAATTTAATGATTCATCATAGATGAGGCCTGTGAACCAGCCCTGCTCCATAGCAGCATTTGTCTGAAGGACCACACAACATTACAGCAGCTAGGACAAGTACCATGACTAATTGGATCTGGCTTCACAAAAATCAAAATCAGCAACTGAAGTAATAGCTCGCTTATGCTTACCTGAAAGACAGCAATACTGCCAGACAACTGGTGAACACTATTCCCTTTCATGTCAAATGAGCAATATTGCTAATTTGGTGTTGGGTTACAATGACAAGTGACATTGACATCAATCAACCTGAAACAGGCCCAACATTTCCAGAAACATCCTGTGGTGTTCAGAGCAAAGGAATCACTGGGTAACACTACCATCTAGCTCTAGGAGCAAGGACAAGCTTGTATGAAAAGTGGAAGCACTCCAAGGGAAAATAAGGTCAGGTGATGGCATCAAAAGGAAAAGTTTAGGCTAAAGTATCAGGAAAACCTGTGATTTTTGCAGCTCTGGCAGATTCAAGGGCAGTAGAGAGGCCTGTTTAGGAAATACACATTTAAGTCTAGACCGAAAGTACTATCCCAGCACTAAGTTTGCAGATGATACCAAACTGGGTGGGGTTGCGACTTCTTTGCAGGATAGGGACATAATTCAAAATGACCTTAGCAAGTTAGAGAAATGGTCAGAGGTAAACAGGATGAGGTTTAATAAAGAGAAATGCAAAGTGCTCCATTTAGGAAGGAACAATCAGTTCCATACATACAAGATGGGAAGCGACTGTCTAGGAAGGAGCATGGCGGAAAGAGATCTAGGGGTCATAGTGGACCACAAGTTGAATGAGTCAACAGTGTGATGCTGTTGCAAAAAAAGCAAATATGATTCTAGGTTGTATCAACAGGTGTGTTGTAAGCAAAACTCGTGAAGTCATTCTGCCGCTCTACTCTGCACTAGTTAGGCCTCAGCTGGAGTACTGTGTCCAGTTCTGGACGCCACATTTCAAGAAAGATGTGGAGAAATTGGAAAGGGTACAGAGAAGAGCGACAAGAATGATTAAAGGTTTAGAGAACATGACCTATGAAGCCAGGCTTCATGAACTGGGCTTGGTTAGTTTGGAAAAAAGAAGATTAAGGGGGGACATGATAGCGGTTTTCAAATATCTAAAAGGGTGTCACAAGGAGGAAGGAGAAAAATTGTTCCTCTTGGTTTCTGAGGACAGGACAAGGAGTAATGGGCTTAAAGTGCAGCAAGGGAGGTTTAGATTGGACATTAGGAAAAAATTCCTAACTGTCAGGGTGGTCAAATATTGGAATAAATTGCCAAGGGAGGTGGTGGAATCTCCCTCTCTGGAGATATTTAAGAACAGGTTGGATAGACATCTGTCAGGGATGGTGTGGACGGAGCTTGGTCCTGCCTTGAGGGCGGGGGGCTGGACTCGATGACCTCTTGAGGTCCCTTCCAGTCCTATTATTCTATGATTCTTAGGTAGAAAAGCTTGTCATTTAACACCTGTTAGCTGCAGGAGCAGAACACAAAGCATGTAGTCCAATGAGCCAGTCACTTGCTGAGTACAATAGGATCTGGATTCGATACAAGAGTGAGCCTCTGTTGCTAAATCAGTAGAGTCCCTGATGCCAAGCTTACAGCAGCCCACATTTTGCTCCTTCATATTATTCCATATGAAACCAGAGGTTCAATTTCAGTGTTACACTGGCCACAGACAATTCAAGTACTTACACCTTCTATATGGTAATGAAGCTGCTTGTACCATATGAGATGTAGGGAAGGGTAGGAGAGACTGTCCTGGAGGCCAAATTTAGGTTGCTAGGAAAGACTGAAATCCAGGACCTCTGTGGTGGCATTCTTGGAAATGCTTCCAGTTCCACACACACGGCCATACATGGATGAGATGGTGTAGGAAGGAGGGGTTTAGATTTATTAGGAACTGGGGACACTTTTGGGAGAGGGGGAGCTGCTACAGGAAGGATGGGCCCCATCTAAACCAGGGTAGAACCAGACTTCTGGCACTAAACATTAAAAAGGCCGTAGAGCAGTTTCTAAATGTAGGGGGGGGGGGGGGGGGGGGAGATGCTTTTCCACACCAGACAGACTTCTCTTAGAAGAGAATCCATTGAGATAGAGATTCTCTAGGCCGTAGTCAGAAAGAGGAGGGGAGAGGACAAACCCTGGGCCAGAGCAGACAAATAACCACATATAAAGGAATCCAATGCATCAGGGAAGGGCAGACAAACAGCAGCCATTTAAGTGCTTTTACACAAATGCTAGGAGTCTGACTAATAAGCTGGGTGAACAGGAGTACCTCATATTAAAGGAGATTGACATAATAGACATCACTGAAACCTGGCGGAATGAGGGAAATCTGTGGGACACAATCATACCAGGATATAAAATATATCTGAAGGCTAGAGCAGGTCATGCGGGTGGCAGAGTGGCACTGTACATGAAATAATGTAGAATCAAATGAAATCTTAAATGAATCAATATATTCAATAGAATCACTATGGATAGTAATTTCATACTCCAATAATAAGAATTTAGCAGTAGAGATATTATCAACCACCTGACCAGGACAGTGATACTGATATTGAAATGCTGAGGGAAATTAGAGAGGCTACCAAAATAAAAACCTCTAGACTAATGGGGGATTTTAATTATCCCCATATTGGCTGGGTACATGTTACCTCAGGAAGGGACGCAGAGATAAAATTTCTCAATGACTTAAATGAGTGCTTCTTGGAGCAGCTGGTACAAGAACCCCCAAGGGGAAGAGGCAATTCTTAATTTAGTCCTGAGTGGAGCACAGGATCAGGTCCAGGAGATAACCATTACAGGACTGCTTAGGAATAGTGACCATAATATAACAACATTTAACATTCCTGTGGTGGGAAGAACACCTCAGCAGTCCAGCATTTAATTTCAAAAAGGGGAATTACACAAAAATGAGGAGGTTAGTTTTAAAAGGCATAGTGGCTGGAGCCAAATCCCTGCAAGCTGCATGGAAATTTTTTAAAGACACCCTAATAGAGGCCCAACTTAAATGTATACCCCAAATTAAAACAAATAGGCTATGTTTACACTCCCTGCTTCTTGCACAAGTATGGCCATTCTTGCACAAGAATCCGCAGAGCATCCACACTGCCTGCCTGCTCTTGCACAAGGAAATTTACAGTATGGCATGGTAAGGGAGGGCTTCCCAGGGTAGGCCCACTGCTTAGTGAGGAGGGAGAAGCAGTAACAGGGAACTTGGAAATGGCGGAGATGCTCAATGACTTCTTTGTTTCGGTCTTCACCGAGAAGTCTGGAGGTG